CGGTTTTTTCTGGGGAATTAATACTGAAATAGCGACGGGCATTACTAGCCAAAAGTTGCACAGCATTGAAAAGCTCATTTTGTTTCGAGGCCGCAGTGCCCTTTGTAAACTTGTTCTCTTCTTCTCTTCTAAATTAACTAGCATGCCCCCCTCAATTACATAACGAAATGGGACACTGTACTGATGATTCTTACCCCCCGTTTCGCACCATTTTATTCGTCTGTGTTTACAGTTCAGGGATTAAACACAGGCGTTACCTAATACAAATACCGGCTAGCTTAAATGAGGTTGTATAATTTGGCTTCTTCATCAGTATCAAATAAACAAAGTCGACTGTCCTATTCCTCTTTCCTCTTGTCGCTGCACCCTACCAGCAGCAATGCTACACTTCCTAATACTTATATGACTTACCCGATTTGCGGCGGCAGCACCGGATCGGTACTCACTGTAGCCCGGAATCGCGCCACTCCTGCCCCGGAGCTGTGCCATGTGCCCATGTCCGGGGCCCCGGAACTGCCCCACGCGGCAGCCCGATTTGAAACCAGTACTCCCTGGATGTGGTTGCACTGCATGAAAACTGGTACCAGTCATCGAGGGCAGTGTCGCACGACGAGAACTGAAGCCTGCCTTCTTCGGAGCTTCTCTCATACGACCGGCAGTAGCAGCAGCAGCTGTGCCAGCCCTTTTCGGAGGTTCTTTTACACGGAAAGGGCACGCGTTGGCCTTTTTCGGAGGATTTTCCACAAGGGCAGGCTGATATGCGCTAGCCCCCGAGTATTCTCCCACACTGGCGCCAACCTCTGAAGGTTCCCCCACACATCTCGCACTGGCAGCGGCCTTCCTCGAGGCCTCCCTCATACGGCCACTGTTGGCACCTGTCTTCTTCGGCAGGCTCGCCGCACTGGTGCCAGTCTTCGCAGAGTGTTCGTCCAGGCACTCCAACTTCGCGTCGCTACTGTTCTGGGGTTCCCCGGCACCACTGCTTTGCTTCTTTCCGTTCCTGTTCCTCTTTCTCCGCCGTCGTCTACTCTTCTTCTGCTCTTCCCTCGGCGCGCATTCAGCCTCCGCTACCTTTCCCTCCTCATTACAGGCAGCTTCCATCCCTTGGCCGGCCAACGTTCGCTTGCTGAGATCTGCAGAAACTTCACTCGACAAACAACGTGAAACTGCTCTCAGTACAAATCAAATCGAATTCAATGCGAAACAAACTTTTAAAAAGCCCGACAAAACGAGAACATCAAAAAAAGGCAGAGCTTTGACAAAAAGCACAGATGCGAGACGCGACCGAGAAGGGGAGCTACACAGCGAACGTGCTCTTAGTAGGCTTGCAGAAAAGGCGCGAGAGAGCTCCCCGCGGGCTGCACTGCCACGCCTGCGGTAGCATTTTGCCGGGAAAAGTAAAGGAAACGAGAAAACGAGCACTGCCACAACAAGCACCAGACGGGGCAGTAACGGAAGGACGCCATGGAGCCGCACCATGCGACAGCTGACTGCCAGTCAACTCCCGACCTAGTAACACACATAAAGAAACACCCCCCCCCC